TTTTTTTTTCCCCCCCCCCCCCCCCCCCCTTTTTCTCCTCATGTCCAGATCAATGCAATGGTGAACAAAGCCCAAGGGAAGGGATATGAAAATGAAAACTTCTACAGCAACATGAAGTTCCAGTTTCTTGGCATTGAAAACATCCACGTCATGAGGGCGAGTCTGCAGAAATTGATTGAGAGTGAGTTCCGCTTGGGCTTTATAACAGCACATAAACTGAGAGTTGGAGCTATAACTCTGCACAGAAAATCTGCTCCTAAAATAACATTACGTTTGTTGTTTTTGTCTTTTTTTGTTCTTTTTTTAAAAGGTTAAAATCTTTTATTCATTTTTAAATATAACTTTAAATTTTTCGGCTTCAGGAGTAAATTTTAATCAGTTTCATTTTAACCTGCTTGCATTCTAATCCAATATACTTGTATCATTATCTAAACTGCTTTCTTTATAATCTAATCTACTCTAAAAGAAAATGTCTTCTAGTCATCTTGACCGAACCTGAGCCACATTAGATAATAGTCTTTGTGTTGCTGGGAAATATCTTTTATTACTTTTTCACCTTTGCCCTTTTCTAATGATATTTTAATAATTCTATACTAGCCTTTGCTCTAGTAGGACACCACACAACAGCAACTGGGGTTGGCCATTGGGGGCCCAATGTTGCGGTCACTCCTGCCATATGGGGGCCCAATGTTGCTGTTACTCCGGTCTTATGGAGGCCCAATGTTGCTGTCACTCCTGCCCTGCTAGGTGTTAAATATGAATGACCCTTGTCCCACTGATTCTCTAAAAGCTTTATGCCCGAATAGCGTATAAATTGATTATCCACTGTTCTTAGGACGAGTGGCAGGAAGCGAGCCGCCCTCAAAAACTCTTCCAACTAGTAAATTTATTTGTTAGAATGAACATTATTCATTGATCCAGGTCATCCACAGCTGACCTCATGACCAATTCATATACATTAAAAAAAAAACACACAAAAAAAAACCCACTATTTATTTTTCTAAATGAGCGGGACACAAATCCATCCCATGTGACCTCATAAAAACTACTCCCGTCATTTATGTCTCAGTGTCTGAACTCAAGAAGCCCTCGATGAATGACTTCCTGTCTCGCCTGGAGGCCTCCAGCTGGCTCAAGCACATAGGGGCCATCATTGAGACTTCAGCTTTCATTGCAAAGGTAAGAATAGCCTCAAAACTCTGCAAGTATTTTCAATGGGACTCATCATTAAATTGGATCTACTTCCATGATGGTAAGATGAGGAGTTTGAATTTATCATGTGTGTTTTATCGTAAGATGAGAAGTTTGAATTTATCATGTGTGTTTTATGGTAAGATGGGAAGTTTGAATTTATCATGTGTGTTTTATGGTAAGATGAGGAGTTTGAATTTATCATGTGTGTTTTATGGTAAGATGAGGAGTTTGAATTTATCATGTGTGTTTTATGGTAAGATGAGGAGTTTGAATTTATCATGTGTGTTTTATGGTAAGATGAGAAGTTTGAATTTATCATGTGTGTTTTATGGTAAGATGAGAAGTTTGAATTTATCATGTGTGTTTTATGGAAGGTTATTTTTCTCAATGATAACCCACGGGTTTGATAAAAAAAAACATTTAGGAGATATTCAAAGACATTTTTTTTAAATAAATTTTTTGACATCAGAGTGCTTTGAGCATGCTAGAATAGCATGGAGACCAGTGCTCTACAAGTAATCAATCATCACCAAAAAATAACTGCATACTGAAGAAGTGTAAAAGGATGTTGTTCATGTAGAAATTGTTGCTCAAACATCTTGTGAAATTTTCATTATTCAATAACGACCATTAAATAATTTAAAAATTTAAGGCTGCTGCACATAAATTTGGAATCCCTGTTTTGAATGATTGCGCTAGTCCAACCCCCAAAGTACAGCATGAAATTCATATCTCTTCTCCTCATAGGCAGGGTAGTCCCGCATCCTATTCTCAAAATAGATAAATGAGTGTGTAGAGAAATTTTATTTCTTTTAAAAGACTCCATACTTTGTTGTCAAGGTGTAAGTCTATTTTGACTGGCACATTTCATCAGAACATCAATTTATGACTGTTTGTGTCAGCAGCCATTATTGGTGTCAGTTTATTTTATCTGGCACGTTTTATCAGAACATCAATTTATGACTGTTTGTGTCAGCAGCCATTATTGTGGCAGTTTATTTTATCTGGCACGTTTCATCAGAACATCAATTTATGACCATTTGTGTCTGCAGGCGATATCTGATGGCATTAGCGTATTGGTCCACTGTTCTGATGGCTGGGATCGTACTGCTCAAACCTGCTCTCTTGCTGGGCTCATGTTGGATCCCTACTATAGGACAGTACAAGGATTTCAGGTAATTTACTGCCTCTTGATGGAATGTGATCTATATATAAACATTGTAATATATTTATTAAAATATTTTACAACTTTTTCTTTTCCTGAAGTGTGTATATATTTTTTTTGGCAGACTTTGTATATATTTCTTATATATAATGTCATGATTATGTCTCTTTTGATAAAATTTTTATGTACAGCGCGGTGAGCCCAGCCCTAGGCTGGGGTACCGCGCTATATAAGACGCCTTATTATTATTATTATTATTATTATATATTTTGCTTGTGGTGTGACTGCTTCCATTGCCAGATAGCACGCAAAAAATAATTCCTGATAACTATGCTAAAAGATTTTTAAAATTTAAATAACACAATTGCCTTTGGTGCGTAATATTTTATTTCTTTTCGGAAAATGAATTCTCTCAATGAGTGGTTTTTCAGAACCAGAAAATAAGCTTTAAGGTTATGGGGATGAAAAGTTCAAATAGACTTGTCCCCAGTGTTAGAATGAGTAGCTTTAAAAGAATCCTCTTCTAGTCATACCTTTAACTCGAGTGACGGCTGCTTTTAAAATTTGCTCACGCTATAACCTGCGTCTGAAAAAATCCAACATTTCAGTCGTCCTTTCCCAAAAATCATGGGGGGAAGGGATGTAGCAAAATTTGGGATTATCAAATGTGCGTTACTTGAGTTCATGTTTTGTCAAGTAAATTTAGTAGATGGGAAGTTCACGCATTGCTGTTGCCAATGTTTGGCGAGCTATCTGTAACTAGTACATGCTTGATAAAAGGAGAGGAACGCAATCATAAACGTCTATTGTCTGCACCCACAAGCGAGTTTTTGTTTTTAACAGAGATGATATCCTTTTCACTCTGAAGACAACGAAATAAGGCTAATCAGTGTGTCTGGTGGCTATTTCTTTCTAAATGTCATTGAATATTCCAGGCACTCATTGAAAAAGAGTGGCTGGCCTTTGGGCACAAGTTCACCGACCGCTGTGGCCTGCTGGAGAGTGTCGACGTCAAGGAAACGTCCCCGGTGTTCACCCAGTTCCTGGAGACGGTGTGGCAGATGATGCAGCAGTTTCCGTGCGCTTTCCAGTTCAACGAGAGGTTCCTCCTCACCATACACGACCACGCCTACTCCTGCCAGTTTGGCACGTTCATCGGAAACTGTGAGAAGGATCGCCTCGACCTCAGGTCATTTTTTTCAAAGTTTCTTTAAACCTGTTAGATTTTTTTTTTTAGTTGAAAAATTGGTAATTTTAGAATAATTTAATAAAATGTTGATACGGTCATGAATGAAGGAGGGGGGGAAAAATCCATTTCTAATTCAAGATTTATAACTCTAACATGAGAGCATGTGATGCAACACAACACTTGTTTCTTGTGTGTGTGTGGGTAGTCTTTTACATAGAAATTATTTAGTCTCTTTATAAATCACTAAATTTGTTACTCAGATCAGTACATTCAACTGTCCTCTGTTAATGTACAGGCTGTCAGAGAAGACCTACTCACTGTGGGCATATTTGGCTCACCATTCTAGCGAGTATCTGAACCCGCTGTATAAGAAGACTTATGAGATCAGACGGCCGGTTATCATCCCCACATCCTCGCCACAGGCTCTCAAGTAAGTCCACCGAAATAGTCCACTGAAATAGTCCTCCAAAATAGTCCATCAAATAGTCCACCAGTCAACCAAAATTGTTCCACTTAATGGTCCACTTAAATAATAGTCCACCTTAATTGTCCACCGAAATAGTCCCCTGAATTAGCTGCTCAAACATTCAACTAAAATAATCATATAAACAGAGCACCCATAAGAGTCGCCAAAAAAAAAATCATCCAGCAGTCTACTAAAATAATATACAGAGCAAGTCCACCAAGAGTCCAATAAAACAGTCTTTCAAACTGGCCAATCTTCATCTAAAACAAAATGTTTCGAAAGTTGCCAGGGAACAAAGCTGAGTCCAAAGATTTCCTTGTATGATTGGGGATATTCAAGTGTCCTAGACCCTAATGGAAGCTCTCAAGTGAAAACCATTTTTAGCTACGTGGTCAAATTTAAACAGACCTTTCTTTGAAAAAAGTGCCATTCATTAACATATCAATACATCTATTGATAAAATGATTATTTTTTTTTTTTTAGAAAACCCAGTTATTTATTAAATAAAATTATTGACTTTTCAATTAAAGTAATTTATTTCTTTAAACCTTTCTTTTCCTTCCACACTCAACTCCCCAACAAACCTCTAAACCTTTCTTTTCCTTCCACCCTCACACTCCCTCACAATCCGCCTCAACCTTTCTTATGTGGACTGTATAGTCAGGCAGCAGACCTGTTTACTCTTACGATTTGTACAATGTATCATTTTGAGGTGTATAGATTGTATGTAATGTATGTCTATTTTTTACTATAAATATAACGTATGGAACAATTTTGTGATGATATTGTATGATTTTAAGAGTTTGCGAGTAAACAGGTCTGGGCAACAGTAATTAGTTTTCTGGTCTCTCAGGTTTTGGAAAGGCATGTACAACAGGTTTGACAGCGGCCTTCACCCCAGGGAAAATGTCATGGACATTGTCAGCGCTGCTAAAGATCACAGCTCATCTCTAGAGGATCATGTCCTGTTGTTGGAGAAGGTAGAAATTAATCCTAGTAGTTTAGAAACCTTTATCCCTATAGAGCAGAGCTCAGCAAGGGGTGTGCCGCGAGATGATACTAGGTGTGCTCGAGATGATACCAGGTGTGCCACTGCTAAATTCTTCTAAAAGGATGAAGACATTTTTATTTATTTTTTGCAGGAAATGTGACATTGATTGGCTAAATACTAAGCTTCCAAAGGTTTTAAGTGCAATAGCACATCAGTGTGTTTCAATATGGGGGTCACATCTACATGTGTCTGGAGTGATGAGCAAAATACTAATCTGTCAAAGGTTTTAAGTGCAATAGCACATCAGTGTGTTTCAATATGGGGGTCACATCTACATGTGTCTGGAGTGATGAGTAAAATACTAAGCTGTCAAAGGTTTTAAGTCCAATAGCACATCAGTGTGTTTCAATTTGGGGTCACATGAAAAGTCCCCATCTGCATATGTCTGGAGTGATGAGTAAAATGTAACAGGAAAAAAATATATTTAAAAAAGAAGATTATAAGAAACAAGAAAAGAAATACAGGCTAATAGAGGACCACTGATTAGGAGAGTATTTGGTTGATTCCATATGGTGGTATGGTGCCGGATATCTGAAAATCACTTGGAAGGCTATAAAAGATGGGCTTGTGTTAATTTCACATCAGTAAGAAGAAATCGAAAAAAAGACATTTTTTTTTCCCATCTTTTAAGTGTGGTGTGTCATGGAAAGCTGGGATGGGTCTAGGTTTGCCGTGGGTTTAAAAAAAAAAAAAAGGTTGCGGAGCACAGTTGTAGAGGACTCACTTGGAAGACAAATATTTGGCTGATGTAAGATGTAATTTAAACCTGAATACTACTTCTTAAAAAATGAATTCAAACATATTTATTTCTTTGGCCTTCTTTCCACTGGGGGCCAAATGTGCCAAAGCTCCACAGAAAGGAGAAAGACCTTGACATGTATTTGAATCTGCCATTCTCATCTGTTTATCTTTGATAATTGTGTCATTATTGTAGCTCAATAGAACAATTTAATGTATATGAATAACATGCCTGTCAAAATCAATTTTACTCACACTTGACTAGTATAATGACCTGTATCTATAATTATACATGGAGAAAGTAGAGTTTACACATCATGATTGAAAAAGTTTCAGTTCTAAGATAAAAAAAGCCATTTCATTGTTTGAATTAGAGACGTGTAAACATTTCTCAAAGGCAATAAAAATAGGGGGGGGGGGGGGGGGTGGGTCTGGTGGCCCCATACTTTATCAAGTTAACATATCTTTCATTATAATCTCAAAGAAACAACTTCTTTTCATGACCCACTATTCAGAGAGTGACCCAAATTTGTAAACTTTTGGGTAAGTCAGATGAAACGATCCAACGAAAGCTGCAAGGTTACCTGTCCATGGATTCTATAGATGGCTTCCTGAGCGGGCACATTGGCGACGGCCCCAACCAGTCCAAGTCACCAGTTTCAGATGAGCACCTCCATAAAAATAGCTCAGACTCTGACCTGACCATCAATGGACGCTACCCTCCCCTGGATAACGCCACGGTCAATCACCTGAAAAGCGACACGGAGTCTGGTTTTGACGAGTCCAGTTCTCAGATGTCGAGGTCTGGTATTGACGATGCGTACAACGGCATTGAGCCCGCCAGTCTGATCAGGTCTCCCAGTTCGGACCAGCTGTCTGTTGACCAGCTTATCGCCGAGCTGAAGACGGTGGCGGTCAGTTGGAAGTCTTTCAGGAATGTGTACAGTTGCTCTTGTGCCACACCATTTGATTACTATGTAAAGAAGGTAAAGCCAATGTGGTCTTGCTTTTTTTAAAACAAAAATTCTTCATCCATAATTAATTTGATTTGGGGGCCGCTATTTATTGTTTGTATTTTACTTATTGTTTGTACATTATTTAGTGTTTGTACGTTATCATTATTTAGTGTTTTTACACCATTTAGCGTTTGCACGTTACCATTATTTAGAATTTCTACATTATTTAGTGTTTTTACATTGTTTAGTGTTTGTACGTTGTTCAGCTGTACGTTATTTATTAATTGTACATTATTTAGTTTTGTATGTTATTTTAGTGTTTGTATGTTATTAAGTGTTTAAACGTTATTTTGTATTTGTATGCTTCGTGTTGCTATGTTATTTTTTGTTTGTACATTATTTAGTTTTGTATGTTATTTTAGTGTTTTTATATTATTTAGTGTCTCTATTATTTTGTATTTTTATGCTTCGTGTTCATATATTATTTATTGTCTCTAGTCATTTAGTGTCTCCACATCTTTAGTATCTCTACGTTATTTAGGGTCTCTACGTTTTTAGTGTCTGAACATGTTCAAATACATTTTTGTTTGGGTCGTTTTAGATAGCCATGGGGGATAATTTATGCACAAATACTAAGTCATGATGGATGTGGCTGCACCACATGCCACCACGCTGGCCCCCATTCTAATTCTATCTTGTTGAAAGGACAGAAAGTAATTTTATTGAGAGATCTCGCTATTTTCAAAATGTTCACCAATCAACATCCAATAATCTTGTACATCTTGTTTATTAAAATAAATTTCTTTCAAACATTTTACAATAAGAATTTTCAGTTTTATAAAAAAAAATTTGTTTTTTTTTCCTTCTCATAATGCAATTGATTTATCCAAAATTTTGTTATGCATGTTTAAAAATTTAAATTGTTCTGTTTTCCCAGTTTCACTGTTGGAAGTGTGGCCATGTGTTCTGCACGAGATGCATTGCCCGCAATATTCCCCTGCCGGGCCATTACCACCGCCGCCCTGTTCCCGTCTGTAAGCCCTGCTACAAGGAGGTTAGGAGGTCACCCAGTACAGAGTTCCCACTGAGTTGACCTTACGGTGCTGTTATCAGTGTTTTAGCCTGTTCATAAAAAAAACAACAACAACAGCCTATTGGATTTTCTTCAGTTAGACCTTAGAGCAAATAATTCATAAAAATTGTAGCTTTGAAACAGAGACATGGGAATCATTTTTCTGACAAGTAGTTTTAAAAAAAAAGATATTTCATAAAAATATTTAACTGAGGAATTCTTATATTGTGAAAATTGTTTTGTACTTTGTGTGAACAATATTTTGAAATTGGTGTGCATTGGGCCTTGATGGCATAGGTGTGCAATTTCATACACAGAAGATAAATAGTAGCATACAAAAGTTTCATGGGTCAGTTAAACCTAGGCACTCCTTTAGCTCAGTTGTGGACTATACTCACAGCTCAGTGCTCTTGCATGAACTGCAAAGTTCTCAAAACAAAAGAATTATAATCAATAAACTTGAACTTAGATTATTAATGTTTAACTCACCACCCCCCCCCCAACCCCCTTTCTTCCCAAATCACCAACTTGTCTCCTATTCTGTCTGAACAAAGGGAAATCACTCCTGTAGTCAAATGGTTATTAATTTTTAATTACCTGTAAATTATTTTTAAAAAAAAATTATCCAGAAATTGAAGAAGTTTCATTAAAAAAAACAGATAATGCAAAGTAATGAAACAAAGCTCATTTTTTAAAATATTCCTTTGAAATGTGCTCGTGGCTTCAATAAAGATTAGATCTAACTTTTAAAATTACAAAGACTTTGAAACCATCCACAATTTTTTTTTTTTAAACAGTGGAATAAAACAGAAACTTCATCATTACTGTGTTTTGCTTTGAAAATCTTCGGGAATTTCAAATTACAGCAAAGTAAAAAATTTTTAAAAAACACAAATACTGCAACGACAATGGGACAAGTTTTTTTAAAAATCGAAATTTCTCCTAACTTAATCCTGGATTGTGGAAAAACTGACAAATTTCAACATGTTCACTTTATTCTCTAGCTTATAATCATAGCAGCAGGTCATGTTGCACTGTACAAACTTTTGATGCACTTTCTTTGTTTACAAGATGAGATTGAAAAGATTCGGTGTGGGTGCCCTTATGAGATCATGTGGTATGTTGTCCTGCATTAGATCATGGTTTCAAATTTGAATTAGATCCATCTCATAAAATGAAGACTGAATGTTTCTAATAGTATAGTTGTGTGTACATCTCGTTTAGGCTACTGATTGAATTTCATGGTTTTATTTCAAGTTTGTTGCGTAATAGTTTTTTTTTTTTGCCTTGTTACTTATTTACAGTGCAGCGGGAAAAGTCTATTAAAAAAAATTGTGATAGTCTGCTCTAAAGCACTAATGAAATGTGAGTGACCTAAATAACCCGCTTTCCCCCAACAATTGCGCTGCAATAAAGTTATCTGACATTGTCTCGAAACACTTGCAGCAAAGATGAAGAACGAGAAAATAGTACGGGAAAGGCTGGTCTTGACTCTGATAGTATTTTTTTTATTTTGTGAATGATAAAAAAATTCTCACCACCTCCCAGAAGGATTGAAATTTAAATTTATGTCATAAATGAAAGATAAAGACAGTAATTTAGCAGCTTCTGGCTACATGTACACACAGATTAGATTGTAGACAATTTTCTAGCATGGCCTGCCTTTTCATGTTATATTTCTTTTTTGTTTTTATTTGATGATTTTCTCTATTCCCTTGAGCATTGTTTTTGTATAGACAAATTTAATCAATTTTAATGTGCCAAGTTCACTTTTTGTAAGTAAATTCTTTGTTCTCAATACTGTTACACAAGGAGTGACTGTTTTGAATATTTGTACAATGCAAATGCGAGACTGAGAAAACTAATTTTGCTAAGATCAGGCAAACGTATCTCATATTTTATAAAGACCTGTTTTGTTATTTAGAGATTTTGTTTAGATGAATTTTTAATTTTCTACTGGAAGTCTGCCAATATGTTTCATAGGTTACTTCGATGTTCTATTTTTCCTGCATATTTTTATGTTTTTTGTTTTTTTAAATTAATAAATGAATTAATTAATTACTATTTATTTTGTATTGTTAAACCCCCTTCTTCCGCCTCTTTTTTTTTTTTTTTTAAATTATGATTTCAAATTCCATAAAATAATTTTTTTCATAATTAATAATCAGCGAAAGGGATTTGCTTGATAATGCTTAGATTTTTTTTTTTTTTGTTTTTTTTTTTTTTTTTTTTTTTTTTTTTTTTTTTTTTTTTTTTTTTTTTTTAAACCCCTTTCTTTCTTTTTTTTTTTTTTTTTTTTTAAATTATGATTTCAAATTCCATAAAATAATTTTTTTCATAATTAATAATCAGCGAAAGGGATTTGCTTGATAATGCTTAGAATCTTGCTAGGAATAGGATTTTACTTAAAGAGCTGTATGCCCTCAACAAACTTAACACTGATTTATGTGATTTAATGTATATTACTAGATGAAATTTTAAACAAATATTGACAACATTTATTTGCATAATTTTACAGAGATAGATTCAATCATCTGTTGGGGGGGGGGGGGGGTTTTTATTTTTGTTTTTGTTTTTTTGTTTTTTTTTTTTTTTTTTAACATTTGAAATGTTACCCCTCCTCCAACCTCCTCTCCCCCCCACTTTCCATCCCAAAAAATTATTGAAAATTAAGTGTTTGCAATTTTGTTACATTCCAAATTTAGAATCAACTATGTGTGAACAATAGATTTAACTCTTACTTCTGATTATATTATTAACCACAATTCATTTTTTATTTGCTCAACAATTGAATATAAGGATATTTACTTTGTAAGTATGTACGTACATCTGATGTCTTCTGTCTGAGCTGCTGAAATTAATTTTTTTTTAAATTCTTCGACTTAGTGCCATTGGTGAGTCATCTAAGTGAGCCTTTTGATTCACACAAAAGCTATGAGCTTTTTATTATTTGCCACGTTTCAGTCTCCTTGTGCAGTGTTGCTGAAGCTTAAATGATTAAAATAAAGTCATTCTATAAACAAACATAATTAGTGGGACCTAAAGGTACTTGAATTCATGGAGGGTGTTTTTTTTCTTTTTTTATAGCAACAATGGTCATCTTTATTATAATAAGGAGAAGAGTTACAAATATTTTTTAAAATTTCATAACTTAATCATAAAACTACTGCATCTTCAGTCTTAAATGAAAAATCATATAACAAATGGCAGAATTGATTATTTTTCCACCATTGTCCATTTTTTTAATTTTTTGGAGGTGTGCTTGGTGAAATTAAACTTTGGGAATATTTTTTTTGTTTTTTCTGCAATGTACTTCACTGTTGTAATTAAAGTGTCACTTGAGAGCAAACGTGATCCATCATCCATTTTTGCTGTGGAGTATTTATGATGGGAAAACAACCATTGATTTTACTGTTAGATATTTTTAGAACCTTTGATGCACATCATCTTCCAGACATTGTGTTCATGCTCCGTTGCTTTGTTGATTTGCCCCATTCACTCAAACCTTGGACAGCGGTGGAAATGCTTCTCTTTTTTTTATTGTATTTATTATTTGTACGCGCTCCTGTGAGCGTCCAAAAATCGACCAGCCCGAGGCTTCCCTTGTTGTCATACTGGGATGAAATTACGGGGGGGAGGGGGGGGGGGGGGAACCTCAAAACAAATTTTTATTTTTCCAAAGGGCTCACCTGCCCTTTACCCAAACCACTCCTTGAACAACTGCTGTTCTGTTCAAGATTAAAAAATATCCAGGGGTGGACAAGCTAAACATATTTCAAGAGCTGGCCCAATTTTATAAGGAGCCAATTATTATTATTCCTTTTTTTTTTTTTTTTCAACCCCTCAGATACAGGAAAAAAAAAACAACCTGAATCCAACTAAAAGTGCCAACTAAAGAAAACTGTCTGGCTGCGCTGTGCCCTGTGCGCTGTGCCCTGTGTGCTGTGCCCTGTGCGCTGTGCCCTGTGCGCTGTGCCCTGGTTTTGTTTGCCTTTGGTTAGAACAGTGTTTAAATTTTTGTTTAGCATGTTGAAAATACTAATTTTCCATCTCCCAATCAGCAGTGGCTAAGGCTTTACTGTATAAGTCACAAATCCCGTGAAATTATCCTCATTGCATTTACTGTATCTGCCTAAAATATTAAGTTTCCTCAAAAGTTGAGTTGCGGCACATTTAGCTACTTTGTAATGATGTAAGTATAGGTGACGGCTGTTCAGCTCACATCACTCACAAGGAGGTCATTTCACTTGTTTAAAGCCTGCAATGTTTCTTAATCGAGAATTGACTTTTATGACATCTGACTCTAAAATTAGCATGACTATGGATGATAAGACTTTGTTGTTCACAGACAATAAGTTTGAAAACCCTGATTTTTTTTAGCTTTTTTAAATTCCTTTAAACTCTGAAGTTTCAGTTTGTGCGGGGGGGGGGGGGGGAGGTGTAAAAGGTAATGTGTACTTATTTATATGTATAACTATAAATATTTATTACGATTCTAAACAAGTCTATATATATAATTACAAAAATATTTATTACAATTCTAAAAAAGTTTCATGTGTTACATAAGAAGCAAGTGCTTGCAATAGAAAATGGAGAATTCATTTTTTATTTTCAAAACCTTTTATTTTGAATAGTGTGCTTAGTTTAATTTTAAAAGTATACTTCTATGATTACAGATATTTTTCAGTTTTTTTTACTGAAACAAGGTCCCTGGCCTGTGTACATGGCTGACCCCACCACCCTCAGTGTATATAGACAGACACAACTTTTTCTACATGAATTTTTTTACTTTATGGTTTAAGCTGTAAGGTAACCACATTTATAAAATGTTAAAAACTATAACTTCTTGCGATCAGAGTAACAAAAGCTGGAGATCAAAATTTGATTTTAATGGCTCTAATATGATAAAGACATTTTTTTTCTGGGCAAATAAAAAAAAATGAATCAATGAATTCTAAATATTTCTTTTAGAACATTACTTTTATTGATTGGACTTGCATGTAATCATTTTGATCTATGTACCATAATCATGATTATTGATGTGTGTTATCATTCTTCTAGCATTACATTCTATATGATTGTGACATCAGCTTTGGACACAGATGTAGGATGTCTCAGATAGAATTCTACATTAGAAATATCTTGTATGATACAGGGGTTCCCATAATGTTGACATCGATGTCATTATGGTGACAATAAAATGTCATAGACGATTCATCTGTTTCTTGCCTCTCTATACTTTGTGTCAATGTGGTTGTCATTTTGTTTGTGTTTGGTGAAACTTGACCAGCGCTATCCAAACTGTGTGGGCAGGTTGGAGATGTGGCGCGGGCTGGTTGGAGATGTGGCGTGGGCAGGTTGGAGATGTGGCGCGGACAAAAGCCATACCAACATTAACTCATTTTTTAAGACTACCGTATTTAAGATTTTGATATAAAGATAAACACCAGCTTGCAACCCGGCATATCAAATATGTTCTGTGGGATTGGATGACAAGATTGTGACTTGGAAATGAAATGTGAAAGAATAAAATGTGGAAAATTATTCCAAAACAGCCCCGAGTGAGAGCTAAAAGTGATGGTAGATCGCAAAATGTGGACCATTCCGCACTGTACCAAGACGCAGTTCATCGGCACTGCACAGAGACACAGTTCATCGGCACTGCACCGAGACACTGTCCATCAGCACTGCACCAAGACACAGTTCATCGGCAGTGCACCAAGAGACTGTTCATCCTTACCTCCCGAATGGTAAAAAACAGAGACTATGATTGGATGAGGACTCCATTTCTTTCAACCGAATGATGAATGTTTCACTTACTAAAGAAGAAGATGGTGAAATAAACAAAAGATTGAAAACAGTTAAAATGGTGAAAGGACAGAGGATAAAAAAAAAGCTGGGGTGGGAGGGGGGGGGGTAGCTTTGATACTTGCCTTTTAAATATTAGCATCCAAAATGTAGATGAAAGGTTTTTATGAGACCTGTCATGTCCTCATTCATTGCGTTATGGTTATTGCACTGTAAGTTCTTGTCCGGATATCTTAAAATGGGTTCGTTTAACCCACAGGTATGGCCTACCTACTGGTTTAACCAACTGAATATGTCGTGAAAGGATGAATGCTTAAAGAGTGTGCCACCAGCATAAAGGTTTGTAAAGCACTGCAACAACTGCTCTAGGCTGACTGCTCTAACTGCTCTAGAATAGCTGCTCTAGGCTGACTCCTCTAACTGTTTTAGACTGACTGCTCTAACTGGTCTAGAATGATTGCTCTAACTGCTGCTAGACTGACTGCTCTAACTGGTCTAGACTTGCTGCTTTATCTGCTCTAGACCGACTGCTCTAGAATGAGTCAATATTACTGTCTTTTTGTTTGTTTTTGATGAAACTCATGAAGTCGTGTAGTTATTTTTGTAGCAAAACCCATGCACCCAAACAGAAAAGTAAGATTTTTTAAATATTATTAATTTTTTTAAATATTTAAAGGACTTAAAGTAGAACTTTTGTCGGTACTTAAATTTTGATTCACCGCAAAAGTTATTATTATTCACACTTCCAATTAAACAAATGTTCTTTTAAATAAAAACGCTTAATTCAACGCAAAAATTATTGTACATTATTCATTATTTCACATTTCCATTAAAACACTTCACACTTCCAATAAAACAAATGTTCTTTTGCATTAAAACATATTTACGTCTTTTAAAGTCCTTCCCTACTCTGGTGGCCAAATTTGAACAATATCGTCTAGAATGGCGTTGAATACATTCAAACCATTTGCTTTAATCGAAGACCAGCAGAGAAACGCTATGAATTCATTTTTATTTTTACCAATTATTAATGTTATTTTATAACAATAATAATTATTTAAACTGTTTTAAAACTTTTTAACCAATTAATTTGCTTAAACTTCTTCATTAGTAAATTATTATTTTTTTTGTTGTTAAAAAGTGGCCTATTCAAAGTGCAGGCACTTACAACATAAAAAGGTATTTAATATATTTACTGTTTCCCAGGTGGGTCGAGTGACCTGTGGCGCCAAATTATATAAGGATCAGGGTCAAATGGCTACAGGAGCCGTTTTTCGTTCTTGTCAAAAAATTATTGATTGCAAACATTGTAGGGGTATTTGATTCCACTATTTATTTTATCTTTATTATTTTCATCCTACTGCATGTTCAATTCTTTTAGCCCCAGGGGCCCAAGCCTGGGCCCTACTGCATGTTCAATTCTTTTAGCCCAAGGGGCCCAAGCCTGGGCCCTACTGCATGTTCAATTCTTTTAGCCCAAGGGGCCCAAGCCTGGGCATACTACTATGACTAAGAACGACACATAGACAGCTTTGTGTCTCTATGTTGACTGTACCCAGAGACTCACGACACCTCAATCTGACCTTGCATCATAGCAAACAAAAATTAGAGTGCAAACTCATGATAATGTTCAAGGTCATGATCACTTAAGACCAAACGAAGCCATGTCTTTTGGGAAACATATCCCAAGTGGCAGCATAAACTAAAATCATTGAAATTATAATGAAAATATTATAGAGAGGTACTGAACTTAGACTAATAAAAAAAAAACTGTACATATAATTAGACTACTAAAAACTGTAAATACAGTTCTATGAAAAAAATCACAATGGTGCATTTAATGTTAATTTTATAAAATGGCTGCTTCTCCTGGTCCTATCTTGTAGATGTTGTATCTCTCATTTTTTGTTTTTCAACTCATAAGAAATTTTGACTGAATTTTGTTGTTGGCTGAGGAAGGCTAAAGCAAAATATTTGTTGTTTTAATGTATATTATTCCAGATGTCACACTAAGCTTGTTATTTCATGTCATCCCTTGTCATCAAAAGAAAATACCTATCAAATTCCTCCTTTTGATTGATTACTATCGCTCAAATTGATAACTTGTTGGGTTTTTTTGGTCTGTTTTACTTTGCTCCCTTTGTTCCACCCATCATTTCTATTTAACTTAGTTGGAATAAAAGATTAAACTTACACACACTGAATTTTTATTTCCACTGAGCAGTAATTGATGTGTATATAAAATTATGCCTTGCGCCTAAAATTCCTTAAAGAAGATTGAGGCACATGTGAGATGGCTATCTGAGATGGAATGGATTGGCAAGCAAGAAATATTTATTACAAAATATATTAATCCTTCATTTTTGTTAAGTTTTCTTAAGACAAAAATTCACAATCACATCCGACAACACAAAAAACTTTCACATTATATATTATAATTTAATATTGATGATATAAGTTATATCCTAATCATTTATAAGTTTCATATATAATAATACACAATAAATGAAATGTTGGTCAAGAAATAATTTCATCAAATATTTTATTTACCTCTTTTTAATAACAAGATATTCACACAAACCTTCACAGATATTAAAATAGCCAGTTTTATTTCAACAAGTTTTTTATGTGTCAGACTATTGATATCTTTCACAAAAACTTTTTATAACCTCACTTGTATTAAGATTTCACTAAATATTTAATGATGTCAGTCTGCAGCCCTCATTGTCCTTGGTTTATCTTGCAGGCTAGAGACAAGACTAAACTCTCTCACTGGAGAGATTAAATATGAAGAAGGTGGAGAGCAGCTCCCTTGTGTTGGAGAATGAACAGCAACTACAGCAGTATGAAAAATGTCTTGATAAGATAGCCAATCATGTGGTTCAGGCCTTGTTGGCTAAAAGGTAGCTATCTTGAAAATAGTTTTGTACCTCATATGTTGCTGTACTTGTCGGTTTAATACATTTCACAAAATATTGATTTATTTATAAGATCAATACATTTTTTTTCATTAAATATTCAATTTCAATTTTTTCTTTTAACAAATAAAAAATTTAATAAATACCGTACTTTAAGTTGTGTGTTTATAAAATATATGAAATTGTTAATTAATTATTTATTGCAATCAATATATTTAAAGATTGTTTACATATCTGATTGGTATGCAGGCTCTTGTCTGAAGTAGACTCTAATCTTGATCATGGACAAGAATGTACCATGTTAGGTCAAATTAAATTTGTAATATATGTTATACATATTTTAAGCTGTTTTTAAGCCTTTATTAATTTCCTGTACCAGTAATTCATGTTGAATGGCTTAGAGGGATGTTCAAGTTAAGTTATTTTGGGTGTACTCTTTTTAAAATGCCTTTATTTAGAATTGTGTGCTTTCAAACATCTATTAAAGAAAGGTTTTCAGTCAGTTATATTTTTTTGTGGTGCACACATTTTAAATAGTTAATGGAAGAAGATGCTTTGCATTCAAGTCAAGCCTAGGTGTATATATTTCTTACATATCTGAAGTGGAATCTTGTCTGAAGTCGAATCTTGATCATGGACAATTATGTATCTTGTTAGTTCATCTTGAGTTTTTAACATTTAAATAATTTAAATAGAAAAAAAAATTGTAATCTGTTTTTAAGCCTTTAGTAATATCCTGAAATTTTAATTACTTTTATATTGTTTTCTAGATTCAACGTTAGACAAACTTTAAGAATGCACAGTTACCCAAATTGGATGACCTAGCACCAGCCATTTAGATCGAAGAATGGATCAATCAGCACCAACCACTGTAAGCTACAACAACAGATCCACCAGTGCCAACCATTGTTAACAAGAGATAAAACAACTCACCAGCTTACAAATTATTTACAGTTAAAAAGCAAATTTCAAGTGTAAAAATAAAATATAAAAAGTCAAACATTAATGCTCTATCCAAAATTGTTCATGTAGGCTTAAGTTAAAATTGTTTACCCTATAACTTTATGCTGTGCTGCTTCTATAATTCCATAATATAGTAAAATTAATAATCAAAATTAAGTTATAAACAGGCTAAACACATTTTACTGTATTGCATACCCTGATCTAAAATTGCAATATTTGTTTAATCTGCAGAAAGACTAAGTACATGATCATTGGATTCTGGGAGACTGAGTACATATTGGAGTCAAGATTAGGAGCTCATTGAAACCATATAATTGCATTCATTACATTTGACAGTGATATTTTTATTTAAGTATGATTGTTAAACCAATTCAGTGGTTCTCAACATTATGGGTCAGGACACCTTAGGGCACGTGTAACAAAATACTACAAAATATGTATTACATATGATATGATATGTGCATAAAATGTGGTTTATATGATATTATGTGTGCAGAAAATGTATTTTATATGATATAATATTTATATGGGCATAAAATGTAGTTTATATATTATATGTGCAGAAAATGTAGGTCTAGTTTGTATGATTTTATATGTGCAGAAATGTAGTTTATATGATATTTTACATGCAGAAAATGTAGTTTATATTATCTTATATGTGCAGAAAATGTAGTTTATATGGGCCCCCAAGACAAAGATTTGGTCCCATGTCAAATATTCCGGCTCATATTATATAATTTGCCTTGTCTAAAGTTGACGAGCTGTAGATCTCAGGGTTGTGATGATCTATCTACTTTTATTGTCAGAGGACCATTAGGATCTCTAAGTTCCTCTGCCCAGTGCAACTTATACCCTATGTTAGTCCAAGGCACTACACCCTGACTCCATTAGATAATACTCTGAGTTTATTAGCTTTATCACATAGCATGTCATGTAGCATCATCTCCAAATCCGGAGATACACACCAATAATCACTAGTTCACAATAGGTCTCCCAGACTCGGCAACACACATCTCGTCTGTGAACATAATACAACTCTCTTGTCACAATGACACAGCTCCTCTATATATCCCCCTCTCGACCCTCATCGACAATGACAATCTCACGCCTCATTCGCTCAAAGTTGCACGAGTCCGTGACATGAAAAGCGCTCCCCTCGCTCACTAACCTCATTTGTCACCAATTCAAAAGACACACTATACGTCTGATTTCATGACCTTGACATTTAGTTTATATGATTTTTATATGTGTAGAAAAATTTGTTTTTTGGATAATATAAGTGTGGAAAAATAGTTTTTTCATGATTTTAAATGTGGCGATAAAAATTGAAGACAATGCAGACCCACTCATTTATCTTTAATGATTTCATATATTTTTATGTATGTATACATTTCTAAGGTGAACGAAATTTTAAAGTATTTATATTTTGAATTTGTTTTTTTTTAAAACAACAACTTTGTATTAGATTAATTGTTATCTCAGATACATATGGCAATTAAAATTGCATCTGTATGTATTAATTTAGTATGTTTGATTGCATGTGGTTTATTATATTTAAAATGCTATGTGATTTATTCCATTTAACATGTTATGTGATATATTCCATTTAACATGCTATGTGATTTATTCCAATTAACATGTTATGTGATTTATTCCAATTAACATGTTATGTGATTTATTCCAAATAACATGTTATGTGATTTATTCCATTTAACATGTTATGTGATTTTTTCCAATTAACATGTTATGTGATTTATTCCAATTAACATGTTATGTGATTTATTCCAATTAACATGTTATGTGATTTATTCCATTTAACATGTTATGTGATATATTCCATTTAACATGTTATGTGATTTATTCCAAATAACATGTTATGTGATTTATTCCAATTAACATGTTATGTGATTTATTTAATTTAACATGTTATGCGATTTATTCCATTTAACATGTTATGTGATTTATTCCAATTAACATGTTATGTGATTTATTCCAATTAACATGTTATGTGATTTATTCCAAATAACATGTTATGTGATTTATTCCATTTAACATGTTATGTGATTTTTTTCCATTTAACATGTTATGTGATTTATTCCAATTAACATGTTATGTGATTTATTCCAATTAACATGTTATGTGATTTATTCCAAATAACATGCTATATGACTTATTCACTTTAACATGCTATGTGATTTATTCCATTTAACATGTTATGTGATTTATTCCAATTAACATGTTATGTGATTTATTCCACTTAACATGTTATGTGATATATTCCATTTAACATGTTATGTGATTTATTCCAATTAACATGTTATGTGATTTATTCCAATTAACATGTTATGTGATTTATTCCAAATAACATGCTATATGACTTATTCACTTTAACATGCTATGTGATTTATTCCATTTAACATGTTATGTGATTTATTCCAATTAACATGTTATGTGATTTATTCCACTTAACATGTTATGTGATATATTCCATTTAACATGTTATGTGATTTATTCCAATTAACATGTTATGTGATTTATTCCATTTAACATGCTATATGACTTATTCACTTTAACATGCTATGTGATTTATTCCATTTAACATGTTATGTGATTTATTCCATTTAACATGTTATGTGATATATTCCATTTAACATGTTATGTGATTTATTCCAATTAACATGTTATGTGATTTATTCCATTTAACATGCTATATGACTTATTCACTTTAACATGCTATGTGATTTATTCCATTTAACATGTTATGTGATTTATTCCATTTAACATGCTATGTGATTTATTCCAATTAACATGTTATGTGATTTATTCCATTTAACATGTTATGTGATATATTCCATTTAACATGCTATGTGACTTATTCCAATTAACATGTTATGTGAGTTATTCCATTTAACATTTAAAATTCCAATTTATTCCAATTAACATGCAGGTGTGTAACTTAGTAAAGTGTAACTGTACACATATTTTTTCGTTTCTTTGTAACTATGTATTAATTGTGGCAAGTGATGGAAAAGCAAACTTCAATATCAAGTCCATATTTTCGAATGGGGCACCATCAATGCCACCAGTGCATGCTTACAGTGACTTGCACATATTCTGTGTTTATTTCATTCCCTGCTTGCTCACACTCCATTTTCTTTGTGTTGTGCTCACTACCTCATCTCATCTAGTCTTATTTTATTTGATATGTTTGAATAGTTGCTTAATTTAGTATTTAGAAAAGTTAAAATCTGTTTTTAGGTTTGACGCCTCTTTCTTCAAGCAGCCATAGACTAAGACAACCACAGTGCTCCAGCAGGCATTACAATGGACTTGGGGGGAAGGGGGGGGTTTGTATAATGATTAAGTTGAGACAAATGCAGGGTAAGCCAGTCTCATCACTATGCAAGGGAAATAATGGGGTTTTTGTTTAATACCATTTAATATATTATTTTTTTAAATTTGTAAAATAGAAAATAATAAAACTTATTTTTAAAAAATAAAAATGCTATTTGTTTTTTTTTAAGGGTGTCGTCACTTTTTTGGTGGTTTGCTTCCCGTTATTCTGCAGTGTGAGTTGGAGTTGCCTCCCCTTTTTGGGGATTTCATTGGTTGATGGATGATGTCTTGAGCCTACTGGGGGGATCTCTTTCCCCCCATGTCGCAGTTGTGCATTTTATTTAAGTGTGCAGTTTTTCAGCATGAAATAATAGTGTGTATATTAATCAATGTATGATTGTGTTCCTGTTGCATTGTTACTTTATCCATGAACATTTGTCTTATATCGAAACAAATAGTTCAAAATATACAAAGCAACACAATTTGAAACTCACAACTTCTTAATAATTTTTATTTATTACTCAAGTTATACATTTTAACTGAGCACTCCAGCATCCACCCTTCCCCCACCCCTCTAAACAAATAGTTCAAAATATACAAAGCAACACAATTTGAAACTCACAACTTCTTAATAATTTTTATTTATTACTCAAGTTATACATTTTAACTGAGCACTCCAGCATCCACCCT